GCTGGAGGCTCCGTCGACGAAGATGGTCCACTTGTGTTCCTTTCCCGGGGGAATGTCGTTAGTGGTCATCTCTGCGACGAAGTCGGCCAAGGCTTGTGCTTTCAGGGCCTTCCTGCTCTCGTACTGAATGTCGAATTCAGAGAGTTCCAGGGACCACTTCAGCATTCTGCCCGCCATATCTGGCCGACCCAGGAGTTGCCTCACCGGTTGATCGGTTCGCACGATGATGGTGTGCGCTAGAAAGTAGTGTCTGAGCCTCCTCGCAGCGTTGACGAGGGCCAGAGCAACCTTTTCTATCTGTTGATACCTGCTCTCGGGGCCTTGTAAGGCTTTGCTCGTGAAGTAGACAGGTTTCTGCCCGTCAGGGGTCTCGCGGACAAGAGCTGCGCTGATGGCTTCGTTTAATACTGCCAAGTATAGGTATAGTGGTTCGTCGTCATCTGGTCGAGACAACACGGGTGGTTGAGACAGGCTCTGCTTCAGATGGCGAAGTGCGTGTTCGCATTCCTCGGTCCATTCGAAGGCTGCCTCCTTTCGGAGGAGTTTGAAGAAAGGGAGGGCGTGCTGAGCGGACTTCGCGACGAAGCGTGATAGTGACGTCAACATGCCGTTCATGATTTGTATCGACTTCTTCGACGTTGGTGTCGGGAGGTCGGAGAACGCCCGACACTTGTCGGGGTTGGCTTCAATCCCTCGTTCTGTTAGATAGAATCCGAGGAATTTTCCTGCTTTAACCCCAAACGTGCATTTCTCGGGGTTGAACCTCATTTTGCACTGTCTTGCTTGGGCGAAGACTGTCTTGAGATGAGCTGCGTGATCGGTGTCTGCTCGGGATTTGACGATCATATCGTCCATATATACCTCGAGCATGTCGCCAATCTGTTTGTTGAACACTTTGTTCATCATGCGTTGGTAAGTCGCACCGGCGTTCTTCAGTCCGAAGGGCATTACATTGTAGTAATAGTTGCCCGAGCTGGTCATGAACGCCGTGCAGCGTTTGTCGCCCAGGGCCATTGGGATTTGATTGTATCCCGAGTAGGCGTCCATGAACGACAAAGTCTTGTAGCCGGCCGAATTGTCGACCAGCATGTCAATGTTAGGTAGAGGAAAAGCATCCTTCGGGCAAGCCCGGTTGAGGTCGGTATAGTCAACACACATTCTCCATTTTCCATTATTCTTTTTAACAAGTACAACATTTGACAGCCAGGTGGAGTACCGGGCTTCAGAAATAAAATTTGCCTCTAAGAGGTCTTTTACAGCTTTTTCAGCAGCCTCCGTTTTTTCTGGAGACTGCCTACGCCTACGTTGTACTACGGCCTTGGCGGCTGGATCAATGGCGAGGTGATGACAGGCGACCTCAGGGTCGAGTCCGGGCATCTCTGCAGCGCTCCAGGCGAAGAGATCAGCATTCTCGCGCAGACAGGCCTTGATTTGCTTCCTGGCCAAGTCGGGGAGGTCTTTGCCAATCTTCACTCCCTTGGTCGGGTCTGCTCCGAGGGAAACGAGTTCAAAGTCGCCGTCCGGAATAGGTCGGAGGGGGATTTGCTCGCTGCTGGATGGCTCGTCTTGGTCGAAGCGGGCGTCGAGGGCTATGGAGTCGACCTTTGGTGGAGCCTTCTGAACTTCTACCTCGGGGGATGCTCTGTCGGGCTCTTGCTTTGTCTTCTTGATGGGTCTGGTGCTGGTACCCACGTCGACGGTATCCCGTCCCCTTGAAGCGGCGTTGAAGCACCTGCGGGCAGCAGCGAGGTCTCCCTGGATGGTGGCTACCCTTGCCCTTTTAGTATAAAACTTCATTTTTAGATGGACAGTTGATGGCACCGCTGTCAGCTCCGCCAATGTCGGCCTCCCCAAGATGCAATTGTATAGGGACGGGCAGTCAATGACGAGGAAGCGGACCTTCACCTGTCTTGTAGCTGTTCCTTCCCCGAACGTCACGAGGAGCTCGACATAACCCCAAGGTTTGGAAGTCGAGCCGTTGAAGCCTTGAAGGTCTGAACCCACATACGGAGAGAGGTGTGAGTCGTCCAGTTGCAAGGTCCGGAACAGCTGGCTGTACATCACGTCGACGGAACTCCCTTCGTCGACCAGGATGCGATGCACGTCAAAATTGGCCATCTTTGCCCTTATCAGCAAGGGGATGACTGCGTTCGGGGCTCCGCCGGGGAGCTCTTCTAAGTAGAAGGTGATGGGCTCTGATCTGCCCTTCACTCTTTCGAAAGTCACAGTTTGTGGAGGAGCTGCGTCGACCAGTTCGTCCAACTTCCTCTTGGCTGAATTGATGGTGAGGTCGTTGAACCCGCCCCCGTTGATGACCATGGCGGAGGGAAAGTATTCCCACCTGCTGTGTGTCGTCAGGGGCTCCTGCAGGAGCTCGGGAATTTCGAAATCCTCGGGCCTGGTTACCGAGAAGGCGGTCTGGATTGGCACCGACTCGTCAGATGGTCGGGCATCTTCTTCGGGCTCCTTAGCTTCATGGGCGTCACGACGGGGAGCGTCGTTTCGCCTGTACTGTGCGAGCCTCCCTCCTTTGATGAGGGTTTCGATGGCGTCCTTGAGGTGGACGCAGTCCTCTGTCAAATGACCATGACTCCTATGGTATTGACAGTATTTATTTTTGTCTACCCCTGGCTTGGCAGGAGCTGGCCGGGGACGTTTGACGCCACCGTCTTTAAAATTTGTGCTAGCGCACTCCGCCAAAATACGCTCGCGGGAAGCCGTGACCGGAGTGTACTCGGTGAAACGGCCCGAGGGGCCCCTTTGTTCCCGGACCTCCCGGGGTCGATCTTCCTTCCTCTTCTCTCCGGTACGTCGGGGAGGAGGGTCTTGTCTCGAGCTGTTGTTATGATTGCGAGCCCTGGAGTCTCGTGCCCTGTTGGCAGCTTCTCTCTCCTCGTAGTCCATGTATGCTCGGGCTTTGTCGAGGAGAGCATCAAAAGTTGCAGGTGGCTCAATACCCACAGCTTTTCTGAATTCTGTGCCGGGGAGGAGGCCCCTCTCCAGCAAATATCTTTTCATATGGTCCGCGCAGGGGACCTGTATTGCTTCCCGGTTGAAGCGGTTGATGAATTCCCTCAAGGTTTCATCCTGTCTCTGGATGATGGCCTCGAGGGCCGCCTCGGTCTTCGGGTGGCGCCGAGAAGCTGTGAAGGAACTGATGAACTGGTTCTTCAGGTTCCGCCACGAGGTAATGGAGCCCGGGGCGAGTCCTTTGTACCAGTCCATGGCCGCCTTCCTGAGAGTTGTGGGGAAGAGACGGCACTTGATGGGCCCCCCGACATTATGATAGTGGAGCATGGCTTCGAACCCGTCAATGTGGTCGACTGGGTCTGCTACGCCGTCGTACTCCTTCAGATGTGGGGGTTTCTCCATGCCCGGGGGAATAGGTGCGTCCATGATGGCCTGCGACAGGGGACCGCGGGGGTCGTCCTCGTCGCTCCTCTCCGGAGAAAGAGAAGGGGTCCTGTAGTTATGTCTGGCACGATGATCGTGCTGAGATTCCCTCGAGCGTGATGCTCGATGGTTGAAGGTCACACGCCCGTCTCTGTTGTGCCTCCTGTCGTGCCTTGATGGGTCGCGACTGGGTTCTTCGGTAGGGATGACGGGCTGTCTCTCATATTGGGGCCGCCTCTGCTTTGGTCGGGGAGAGGGGCTCCTAGAGTTCTCCCTGTAGTGTCTCCGCGGGGGAGTAGGGTGTCGAACTTCTTCGACCCGAGGAGGTGGAGATGGTGGCCTCTGATGCCTCCTCGGGGGTCGTCGATCATTTTCAAGTGCCCTTAGTCTTTCTCCTTGGGCGAATAGGAGATAATTTGTCTGGTTGATGGCCGCGAACAGTGCCTGAGTCGTGGCATCTGCCCCGGCAGGAACTTGGACTTCATAGAACCGGGCAGCTCTGCGATAGGCGAGAGCCTCCGGGTCGTCTTCGAGTGCTGGAGGGGTCGTCGAGGATGACGCAGTGTTCCCGTCCCTGCGGGAGGAAGGTCCAGGGGCGGTTGTCACAGGGGTGGCGTTGTGGCCGGGATCACCGAGATTGTCGAGGTGTCCATTCTTGTCCGCGGGACCGTTGTTAGTGTCGGTGACGCGGACGTGCTGTTCTTCACGAGCTGGATCAGCCATGACAGGTAATTGAACTGAGCTTTGGTCTTTGAAATTGTTCGTTAGACTAGGAAGCTGCTTCCCACAGACGGCGCCACTGATCTGACCTGATCAGAAGGTTTGGACCGTCACGGCTGGCTCCGAACAGAAAGCTTTTTTTGACGAGGTGGGGGGGGTACCTGCAAGACACTCCGATGCTGAAGTAAGTAGGAGTACGAGCAGATAATAGAAGTTGAGGTTAGAATGATCAATACCTGACCCTCTGGAAGCAGAGGGTATTTATAGCCCCCAGCGCTGGGCCAAGGTTCCTTCATTGGGCCGGGCGGATTTGGCCCAATGGAGGAACTGCCAGGTTCTACGTGGGTAGTGGGGACCCGCACGTGGTCCCCTTCCTGGATGTCCTGCGTGAAGTGCGGGCGGACGAAGACGCGGTCTTTCCGGAGTATCGTTGGGGGAACGGTGGACTGAGTCTGCCCTAGCTGGGTTGCTCGAGCCCACGTCGAGCTGGACAGCAGGGTGTCGAGCTGGACGTTAGGACGTCGAGCCGGACGTCAGGGCGTCGAGCTGGACGACAGGAGGTGGAGCTGGACATCATCGCGTGAGTTAGATAGCGGGATGTGGAGCTGGACATCAGGATGTCGGGCACAGATGTGACTCCTTTGCCCGGCATGGACCTCCGTAAGTCCTTTTGGATTGGGCCTTAGTAATGCTTTTGGGCCTGTCGGGCCCAGTCCAGAACAGAATGCTTGTAAAGTTTTTTTTAACACTCTTTAGAACCGATGTATTTTTTGATTAAAATACTAATCATTCACACGATAACCGGCATCATTATTATGGCTCAATTACCAACCAAGGACGTTGGAACATACTAGGAACAACCAGAACAAATAGTCATCTATTTGAGATTATGATATCAATCTACGGTGTCCAATCCAATGTGTAGAAAAATAAAATATAGGCAGTAAGGATTTTTGTTCAGTAACATCCAAGGAAAGAATACAAACAAAAATGGAATTTGAAAGAGAAAAATTAATACTAATGAGTTGGCTGCCGCCAAAAGCCACGAGAATTTGAAGCAAAATAATAACACCAAGATTTATGTTATAGCAGCCACCCGAATCTACACAAGTTGTTGACAAGACATACAAGTAGAGAAGCATGAGAGAAAATTGGGGCAATTGCTTCTTCTATTAAGCCGTTCCCTTCTGTTTCAAAGTGATTTTATCCCCGAGACTCAGAGCAATTCCCTGAGTTTTACTTCTTATTCTGATGTATCCACTCAATTTACCATCTCCTTGCTTTTCAATGCTCACATTCACCAATGCATCTTCACCAAAAACACTCTTAGCATAAAGGTTTGCAGCTAGGAAACCACACTCTCCTTCCAATGCAGATCTGAAAAAGAAACAGCAAAAACCAAATTAATCAAATTGCCCAGGTCCCCGTCAAATCACGACACGGCAATTGCATGAAATTTAGAAATGTTAATGACTCCAACAATTAGTTCTAATACATTTTTCATGCAAGTTCTATAATTGAAAAACATTTTTTCTTCAACAGAATCATGGTAGTAGATACTCAGGCACACACACATACATACACACACAAGATAGCAGTCATAAAATGTATGCAAGTTAAAGAAACTCACGGCGGAGTTAGGCACTTCATATTTGTAGACTTGATAATGTGGCCCAGAAATTCCCTCTCATCTTGTAATACTGTATTTACAGCAACCTATAACATAACATAAAGTCAATAAAATAAATATATACAACATCTAGTTAATGCAGAAACAGATTCTGAGTTATATCCCTTTCGCATTCGTGCTTTTTGATGATGGCCAATATTGGCATTACTTGTATTACAACTAAATACATCTAATATAATAGAATAACATTTATGATACGAGGTCTAATCAGCAAACTGATTGGAGTGAGGAATGAGTAATTGAGTATAGGCTGTATAGGCCTAAACTATGATCCAATCATTTTTGAATGACTTGCATATCTGTGATTCTGATAAGGCCACAATATAGTTTCCCCATCGCATCAGGACAGGCCCAAATTGGGTCAATGTAACGGCAAGAGAAACCTGCACATTTTTTAGCTTCCTTCTTGCAACAAATTTTTAGAGCATATCCTGAAACTTCGTGTTAATTCATTACAGAGGCTTAGGGGTGATTTTCCTCCTTCATTTAGCAATGATTATGAGCAGCTAATATATTTTGCATGTAGAAATATACATTTAATAAAAAAACAGTGACAATGTAACACACTAATGTACCTTGCCATATAAGCATCAGGGTATCCAAATTTAAAAAAAATAAATAATATAACATCAATAAGCCTATCACATTGAGAGATATGATACTCACACCTGTAGCTATTAAAAGTAGGCAATGACCCAAACAGCAGCATCACACATTATAACAGATATAGTAAACTAAAGAAAAAAAATATAAGATTCAGTATCTGATTCCTAACTAAATGAAATGCAAACACCACCGAGATCTACCTCTCCATTTGCACTCGAATAGAGATGTAGAGAAATAGGAGCAGCAGCATATAAACTACCTCGTTTATTTTTATCATCTCTTTGGGATAAATCATATTTACAGGAAACACACAACACAGATGTCAATTTACTCAACACAGACAAATAATATATAGACTCAGCATGGTACTTTTTGGGTTCATTGACAGGATACACTATAAACCTAGAAAGTCTTACAACCTACTAGTACACAGATACCACCATTAGGCTACTCCTAGGAGATTAGATCAATCTGCATGTTTCTCTGTCATGCATTATCCGACAACTTCACTAAGGTAGAAAGTATGCATACAGAAGTTGATATCAAACTTCAATGCAGTCAAGACAATACAATAACCATGAAAAAGTATTAAAATAAATAATTTCAATGTGAAAATAGAATTATATCAACCATCATCAAAGCATATATTGCAGACATGATGATGTCTGGAATTATATCAAATATAACTCTATAAGAGCACATATTTAAAATTTAATAATAAAACAAAGGGCAACAGCCTGATAATAGAGATTACCATGAATCATGAATCCTAACTACCTAAAAGTTGTTTATCACACTATTTTTTTTTAAATGAAAGAAGAGTGAGCAATAAAAGGTAAAACCATAATTTTTTAAACAATTGGTTTTAAAAAACCACCAAATGAGAGAAACAGGAATGAGATTTACCTTGTTTTCCCACTCAAACTCAGCCCACATAGTTCTAAAGGCCACATCAGCACAAGATGCAGGAGCAATATAGTCCATGATATCAATATGGATATCATTAAGAACAATCACTGTTCTCTCAAGAACATTTGAGGATGTCTCATAGACGATATTACCGAATATAACTCCAGTTTCAGTTGAAGAAACCTTGATGTTGGCTTTAATCTGTTTGCTTGATTCTGGAGCCAGAGTATAGTTTTGTGGACGCTCAACAAGTTTGAGATCACCCATAGTTGCTAACTCCAAACATAAATTCTGGAGAGTTTCCTTGGTACGGTTGATGACAGTAACATCAAGGACAATGTCATAATGGTGCACCGTGACATAAGCTTCAGCATAAACAGGATCACTGAATCCAGTGAGCTGAAGAATGCGGTTTAGTTTATTTGCATCATCTGCATCCTTTGTAAACTCTCCAGTAGCACGTTTGAGATCATCCTGAACCTCATCTTCCAGCTCAAGTTGGCTCATGCCCTGAAGAAATATAAAAGCATACACAGATTGAACATTTGGAAAAAAAACAGATGAGCAGGTGTACTGAGCACATAACTGAATCAGAAAGCATTAACAGAAACTACCCTCCAACAGACAGAACACCTAACTCAATAGATGACTTGACAATATAGGTATAAATGCAACATTGTAAAAGGTTCAATCATTAGCAATGATGAAAACTTCAAGGAATCTAATGAAACAATGATTCAACTATATCATTTCTTACCAAAAAAAAAAGACAAAATAAATACAGCTATCATACCTTTCTGCTCTTCAAATGGTAGAAATCAATAAGGTCATCAGGCTGTGCATTAGAAATTTGAGCCTTTGCTTTAATCTCCTCTGTCTCACGGCGCTGCTTATCAGCAAGCATTTTCACAAAGCTCTGTCTGCAAGATTGCAGCCATATCCTCCTCATCTCATCACCAGTATTGCATAACAATCTCATGCAAAGGACAATCCTGTCATGAGAATCATTATCAATTGGATGTGGAAGAACTGAGGACTGACCAAGCTGCAGCATTGAGACCGTGATCAACAAGGTCTGTGAAGTTGCCTTGTTAACTTCAATTTTTGAGGTCTGGACCTCTTCCAACCTTAGGACAAGCTTTGTCAGTGTACATGCAACAACAGCCCCAAGGAAGAAATCACCTGAAAGAATAAGAGATCTCAAGTTCCCAATAGAGGAAAGTGAGCCTTGAACAAGGGTAGGCGGTGACATGGCAGTCTCAAGAGCAGCACTCTGGGTAGCATAGGTCCCATCTGCAAGAATTGCAGGCCTCCTAGAAGACACGGTGGTTGAGTTCACCTGCTGCACAGCTTTCGATGTCTCTTGACCTTCTCCATCCTCGGAGATGGTGTAAAAGGGGAGGTCACCAAGACACTGCTTAATGGATGCAATTCCACTCTCAACCTCCGAAAGAGACAAACAATACTCCCCAATGATCCACAGAGCACAAGAACAAACCCTCGCAGCACGGATTTGATAGAAAGTGTCCAAAAGCCTAGTGATTATAGAAACACGCAACCTCGGGTTAGTCTCAATGATCTCCCTCACGAAAACAACCACATCCATAGCAGAAGCAACATTGGTGTCCCCCAAGAAATCCATCAACAGATGCACAACAGTGCTAGCCACCTCCGGAAACTTAATAGCACAAGTATGAATAGCCTGCACCAACATCTGCCTATACTCTCCGTTCTTCTCTTGCTCCCCATTCTGTGTTTTAACAACTTCCTTCTTAAGCATCATAACAACCTGATCAATGTTTTTAGGAGTTATAAGCTCAAGAGCAATATCAATAGTCTTCCTCCTAATATCATGATTAGGAGTGACAAGCGCCCTAAGCACATCCATAACCATATCAACCATAATTTCTCTATTAGAACTCTTAAGTTCATTAAGACGGTCAAGCACAATAAGTTTCACATTGTTATCACTCTGAGAAAGCAATAACTGACAATAAGTACTAGCAGCAGCCTTTATTGCAGTCGGTGCAGAACTAAGTGAAACCAGTGTACCAGCACATTCATAAACAACAGCAGTAGAATTTGCACTCAACAAAGATATAATAATCTTAATATATTTCCCCTTTTCACCCTTATTATTCCTACAAACTTTCTTAATCAATTCCAAAACAATCATCTGAAGCTGTTCACCCCAATCAATAATCCTATCTATATTCGAAAAAAGGTAATTGACAGCACGATCCTGAGAACAAGAAAACAGCATAAGAAAAGCATTACGCTTACTCGACGGATCCTGTTCAGATACGAGAAACTTCTCAACGATCTCCGGCGCACTGTCAAGCAACTGCTCCCCCTGAGGAAGCTTATAAACAGACATAACAGCAAGAACAGCATTCCTCCTAACAAAAGGATGCCGATGCTCGAGATTCGACAAAATCGAAGGGATCAACGGTTCAACGATCTCGGATTCATTAATCCGGCAAAGAAACCGAAGAGTAACACCGCGAATGAATTCATTAGGCGATTGAAGATTGTTACGGAGATTCTGACAGATAAGGATCATCTCGGGGAGAACCTTACCGCGCGAATCGGTTTTGTCGGTGATTTCGAGATACAGAAGGAGAAGTTTCTGAACGGTGTGATCGTCGCAAGTGAGAACGTAACGGATGACGGTGATGAAGAGCTGAGGAATGGTTTCGCCGTTGAGGAGAAGCATGATTGCTTTCTTGAGTGCTTCGATCTTCGATGCGACGTCGTTTCCTTCAAGAGCTTCTTTGATCTCGGTGGCTAGTGCCGGTGTGCCTTTGTCGAAATGCACTACTAGACTGCATGATTTCTCCATTGTTAGGGTTTCAGATCTGATATGAACTCGCGCAAATTGGAATTGCAGAAGAAAAGTATAGAGAGAGTGTGTCAATTGTTGGGAGAGAGAGTTTC